CCCCGCCCCCTCAAGTAATATTAAAGACAAAACAAACTAAAACATAGGCACATATTCAAAGCATATATTACATATAAGATCTAATCAATATTGCATAAACATCAATAATAAACAAAAAAAGAAAAGTGAAAATCACAGAATGGAGAAACATGCAACCAAGCATAAAAAAGCGACTTACAAGAAAAAATAAGACATAAGAAAATATATTTCAGGAGTGTGATTTCTTTTCCGGAAAGGTTTCGGTAACACACAAATACATACACAAAACACACACACACACACACACACACACACACACACACACACACACAGAGAGAGAGAGAGAGAGAGAGAGAGAGAGATAAAGAGAGAGAGAGAGAGAGATAAAGAGAGAGAGAGAGAGAGAGAGAGACACACACATAAACACACACAGACAGACACACACACACACACACACACACACACACACACACACACACACACACTGTGTCGAGGCCATAACCCTTACTCCACGCTTCTTTCCTTTCTTCGATTCCCCATAAATATTAATATTCATGACCTGACTTGCTTCTAGACCGCGTCCTTTTGTCCCTATTGCCCTTCCCTTTTTTTATCCGTCACCCTCATATCCCTTTCAACACTTAGCATTCGCCAAATTTCCATCTCTACCTTCACCTCTCCTCTTTACCTCTTCACTCAATAACTTTCGTCCAATCCCATCTCTATGTATATTCCTTTTCTAACCCCACCACTTACTAGTTCTCGTCAAACTAGCATGTCTGCCTACCCCTTTACCCCCTTGTCCCTTCGTCCACATCTTCCTCTATTCTACATCACGCTGAATCATTCCACCTTCAGCATTACTTCCACTCCGTCTGCCTCTCACCCCCTCCTCTTTCCCCCCCCCCCTTCCTCAGCCCTATAGCTCTATTAGCCTAATGCCTGACTATTGTTTTGTTCCTGCCTTTACAGTCCCATCTACCAATCTCCATCCCCTTCCATCGTTGTTTATCTTTGGCCATCTTCTCATTCCCAACTCCTCCCCCTTCTTTTTACTTCTGTCCGCAGACTCCTCGTTTTATCTTTCCTCGTGGCCCCCATTCCCTATATTTTTCCAATGTTTCCCTATTTCCATGTATATCAGTTGCTCATTTCGCGGACGACCCTCCC